GCCTATAGTTCCCTGGATCATCCTTCTTCCCTTTTTTGAAGATGGGCACTGCATTTGCCTTTTTCCAATCATCCGGGATTTCTCCCGATCTCCACGACTTTTCAAAAATAATAGCCAAAGGCTCCTCAATGACATTTGCCAACTCCCTCAGTACCCTTGGATGTACTAAGTCCGGACCCATGGATTTATGTACGTTTAGTTTTTCTAAATAGTTCTTAACCTGTTCTTTACCCACGATGGGCTGTCCATCTTCATCCCATCTTGCGTCACTTAGCGCAGAAGTCCAGGAGCCGACCTTGTCCGTGAATACAGAGGCAAAGAAAGCATTGAGTACTTCAGCTTTCCTCACATCATCTGTCACTAGGTTACCGTCTTCATCCATTAGGGGCCACACACCCTCTCTGATCACCTTCTTCTTGTTAACATGCCTGTAGAAACCTTTCTTGTTATCCTTCACATCCTTAGCCAGTCGCAATTCCAACTGCGCTTTCGCCTTCCTGATAACCCCCCGGCATTCTCGAGCTAGACCTTTAAACTCCTTCCTGGTTATTTGTCCAAGTTTCCACTTTTTGTAAGCTTCCTTTTTGTGCTTAAGTTCACCAAGGGTTTCCCCTGTAAGCCAGTCCGGTCTCCTACCATGTTTGCCTCTCTTGCTACGTGTCGGGATGGTTTCTTTCTGTGCCTTCAATAAGGCTTCTTTAAAATACTGCCAGCTGTCCTGGACTCCTTTCCCCTTCATGTTAAGGAGGGGTAGCTCACATGATCAGAGTGGAGCTACTGGAGGAGTGGGCACAGGGAGAGAGAAGGCCTGGTGGAGGGGGGCAGGTCGCAGTGGGCAGTGAGAAGAGTAGGAGTCAAGACAGCAGAGGAGGATGAGGAGTTGTGGGGCAGCAGGCATCAGGGAAGCTGATGGAGCAAGGGGAGGAGTCATGGCAGCAGAGAGAAAAGGCAAAGGTTTATAAGATATTTATTAATAACTTGGGTGCCATAGTGGCACATCCAAACAAGCCACATGAACTCAGTACTGGTGCACAACACAAAATTCATTCTGCTCGTGGGAGGAAACTCTTAGGCTATGTCTACACTAGCAGCTTCTTGCCGTAGGGGTTTCTCCCACAAGTAATCCCTGCTGAGTGTTCACACTGCCCTCTTGCGCAAAAGAGCGTACACCTGTTAGAAAAGAGTGTAGCTCTTGTGCAAGACGCCCTCTCTTACCATGCCGTACTGTAAATTTCCTTGCGCAAGAGCAGGCAGGCACTGTGGATGCTCTGTGGGTTCTTACACAAGAACAGCTGTACTTGCACAAGAAGCTGCGAGCGTAGACAGAGCCTTAGAGGGAACACTTCCCCCAGCCTCTCCGCCCCCAAGTTAATGTCACACACATTGGGTTAATGCAATTGTAAGATAGTTGCATGAGGGAGGTTTGGTGGGAGCCAAACTAATCCCTGTTGGTAGGAAGATGGTGGGAAAAGTCCCTCACATGACATCTTTTACTTCTGGTCATGTGTCCATCTTGCCCTGAGCGTGTTACCTCCAAAGGCCTGGCTAATGGGAGTCAGGGGTGTGGCTAATGGGGGTCAGGGGCGGGGGGAAAAGGGGGCGGGGGGGGGGGGGGGGACGGGTTGAGAGAAAGAGCTGGACTAAGAAATAAAGTGAACCTTGGGAACCAGGCATAGGATGCAATATTCATGGCTGAAAAGAATAGAACCTTGAAATAAAAATGTGAGTGGACAGGGAATGTGTAGTTAATGTGAACAGGTTATTAATTATTTTTATTTCTGTTTGTGGGGAACATTCCAGCTTGGCTAGATCAGCCCCTGCCTGCAGCAGAGGCCAAGGCATGGGCCCCATGCGGGGCTGGAGCATCCAATTGCTTGTGGCAGGCAGGGAGCTGCTCCAGCCTGCACCAATTCACCTTAACTGTTGAGCCTCACCTATTAAGGGTTGGGCTTTCTGGTTAAACATTCACATCCCTACTTCTCGCATATGTGTCTCTAGGACTTTGTTGGCTACTCCTGAGCTCACTTTGCTCAGCTGTCCCTTTCTTCCTTCAGTTTGTTTTTGAATTATGAGTATCACAGTAATGTTTGAAGACCCCACCTGAGATCAGGCCCCCACTATGCCAAGTGCTGCAAAGCTTTGTAGTGGAGAGTGACAGCCTCTGTCCCGAGAAGCTTACAATCTACACTGACAGGGTGCAGTGGGGAACCGAGATGGAGTGACTTGTCAGTGGCAGATCCAAGCTCTTTCCTGAGCCTCTGGACTACTCTGCTTCTGTGCATCCCATCATAACAGTGCAGCTAGCTCCTTAGGGACATGCCTGATTGCATTACCCTCCATGTGCACACAAGCTACCTGTTCCCCTGGCATTCCACTGGGACTCTCTAGTCCTGTGACATCCATGGTACTGCCGGACCAGGGATATAGCTGGACGAGAGAGTCCCGCTTAAGAGAGATTCAACCTGTACTGTACAAATTTCATGGAATGTGACCAGTATTTCTCATATAGGGAGACCTGAGCCAAAAGGAAATTGCAGGGGAGGGGTGTCACATGGTTATTTTAGGGCAATTGTGGTATTGCCACCCTCACTTCTATGCTGCCTTCAGAACTGAATGTCTGGAGAGTGTTGCCTGGGTGCCCAGTCTGATGGTGTCCATAAGCTGCATCCCGGGACGGAGAGACCACTGTACCCCCTTAGCTTTCCAGCCTGGGCTGCCTCGCACAATGTTTTGTTAGTGACTAGCAACAAACTCCTCCAGGTGCTGTTACCACTCAGCCCCAAACACAGCCAGAGTGCATGAATGCTCCCAGAGCCATTCATGAATCATTCAGAAGGGGTCACCAGTCAGATCCTCCCAGTTCCCAGCTTTGTACTTTAGGTTGGTTCACCGCATCATCAATCAAAAGTGGATATACACCAAGCTTTGTAAAACCCCTGAGCAAATTTGCCAAACACGTCAGGCAAACTCACTGGTAAAGATAAATAGTTAAACAAGTTTGTTGACTACAAAGAAAGATTGTAAGTGATGGGCAAAAAGTCTGAGTAGTTACCAAAAGCAAAGTAAATATAAGCACAGTTTAAAGTTGAGCAATTCCTCTGGTTTGGCCTTATGCAGATGAGTCATTGAATTATAGATCCCTTGCTGGACATGGGCTGTTGATGGTTGTTTGACACCTGCCTGAATGTTAGTTACTTTTCTTGCTGCTGTCTCTGGGGAGGTAATATCTGGCTGATTCTCCAACTTACAGCATGTTTCAACCGTTGATGACCTTTTCCCCAATACCTCACATGGCTGGCTTTGCATACAATTTCACAATTCTATAGAAAATGAGGAATGTGGGGGTTACAGGGTGCTCCCCCAAGAAATAGTGTCATACTCAGCTCTGCAGGGAGCAGTGTGGAAGGAAGGGTGACAGTATCATACCACGCCATCCTTACTTCTGTGCTGCTACTGGCAGCAGCTCTGCCTTCAGAGCTGGGCTGCCAGCTACCAGCTGCTACTCTCCAGCTGCCCAGCTCTGAAGGCAGTGCAACTGGCAGCAGCAGCACAGAAATAAGGGTAGCAGTACTGCAACTCCCAAATAACCTGGTAACCCTCCACAACTCCTTTTGGGGTCAGGGGACTCAGATCCCTTACACCACCATGAAATTCCAGATTTAAATAGCTGAAATCATGAAATTTGTGATTTTTTTTTTCAAATCCTATGATCATTAAATTGACAAATGGACCATGAATTTGGTAGGGCCCTAGTCATGTGCCATTGTTTATTAACTCCTTTTACCTGCACCCAACGGAGCTGTTCCTGTGGGACCCCTAGCTCCAGGAGCCCTTCCAGCTTATGCTTCAAAAGCCAAAGTCAGTAGATGGTTGAAACTGTTTGGGAACCATCTGCACTCCCCTGCTGCCCTAGCCCTGGTTCTGCACAGCTGTTTATTCTCTGTTTTGCATCACTCTGTCAGCCTTCTACACAAGCAGATATGGCTATAAGATGTGCCTGCGTGTGTACCTAAATGGGGACGGCACTGGACGTGGGACCCACCTGTCTCTGTTCTTTGTGGTGATGAAAGGCCCCAGCGATGCACTTCTGCGATGGCCCTTCAACCAGAAGGTATGTATTGGGAGCGAATGCAGAGCTAACCTTGGGGCCTGAAAGGCCTGCCTGGCCTGTTGATGTATGTGCCTTGTCTTTATCTCCACTTGGCCTCTCAGATGCCTGCTCTTCTAGACACCAGAGAGTTGGCATGAGACAGTGAAAGCAATTGTTCACACTAACTATTTGGGGGAGATCTGGGATGTAGGCTCCTGTCATGATAAAAGCCCAGGATATTACAAGGAAATTAGGTCAATGACTATTAGCCAGGATGGGTAGGAGTGGTGTCCCTAGCCTCTGTTTGTCTGAAAATGAGTGACTGGAGGGATCACGTTAGGATTACCTGTTATGTTATGTTCCCTCCCTCTGGAGCATCTGGTATTAGCCACTGTCGGCAGACAGGATACTGGGTTGGATGGTCTGACCCAGTGTGGCCATTCTTTTGTTCTTACAAGAGAGGTCCAGAGGAGAGGGGAAGAGGGACAAAGCTGCAGTTGGAGTGGGACGATGATGTGTTTGGAGAATACCCAGAAGTTTCATAGTAACCCAGCAGTGTGCGCGCTCACATTCAAGGACCCAGAATTGTGCTAAGCTCTCATCTTCATTTTCCAAATTCAATTCCTAAACCTTTGCAGTTATGAAGAAAACTTTAAAAGTAAAAATCAGATGTAAACCAATGTGGTGACTTCTGCCTGAGTTTGCAGACTGCTTGACTCTACCCATTGGAGGAGTATGATCTGTGTTGCTTATCTCAAAGGGACATGCAAGTGATGGGGCAGAACCAAAGTGAACATCAAACGCTGTAGCTGCTGGCTACCCAGACTACTGTGTGATTTCATTTTTGCATTGAATTTAGCAAGTCTGTAGTTGTCAGTCAACCTAAATCAGATGCAGAATTTTTCTTGTGACGCAGCAGAGATTGGGAGAAAGCAGGGAGCCTTCTGGCAGGGTGCAGATCTAGCTGGGACTTGGCACTGAGCTTGAATGCAGTGCAGACAGTACCCCAGTTTGCCAGTACGTGAATGCTCACATGCAGTTTTCAAAGGGTTAACATTAATGGGTGTCCCAGACCAGGGGTTGCCTTTTGGCCATCTTGCTTCATGCTCCTTCCTGTGCATATTCACCTCTAGGTGACCCTGATGCTGCTGGATCAGAATAACCGGGAGCACATTATTGATGCTTTCCGACCTGATGTGACATCATCGTCCTTCCAGCGACCTGTCACCGAGATGAACGTTGCCAGTGGCTGCCCACTCTTCTGCCCAGTCTCCAGGATGGAGGCCAAGAACTCTTACGTGCGTGACGACACCATCTTTATTAAAGCCATCGTAGATCTCACAGGCCTCTAAAGCCTCCTCCCCACCAGGAGCTGTGAGCACAGTGACAGCCCTGACTAGGGCTTTACCTCCCTGTGCTGCACCCTCAGCATGCCCTAGAACAGGGTGAAGTCCAGATCTGGCCCCGTCCCGGAAGGGACTTGCTCCACTCTGAGTGGAAATGCAGTGTCAGATGGGAACCCTCCCAGCTGCTCTAGTACAGATCTTCTTTGAGAAGAGGCTTGTGTTGAGGTTACTTTGAGTGTGATCCATGACAAATGGGGACTTGGATGATCCCCTGCAGGAATCAGCTACCAGGGCTCCCTGCACTGGGCTTTCAGGCTAAAATGAATGCAGCTCTTTTGTACTTGTTTAATGCACAGCTCTGGTATCCTACAGTGGAACAGGCATTCAGGCTGCCCAGAGCACCACTGCACAGAGCCCTTTGGCCTGCCCCTGCCATTCTCCTCATAGACCTCTGTGTTAGAGGGAGCTGGCTTCTCTCTAGTGGTTTTGCTTAAAGTTTTTGTCATTCTCTGCTGCTGACTGGTTTGCTCCTTGACATGAGGGTGGGAGGGACAACAGGGACTAGGGGCAGGCTGAGGTGGTCTGTGAGTGGGAAGACAACAGTTTAGCAGCCTCACTGGCTTCTCTGGCAGACATTGCTGCAGAGACCCTTTGAGTGGGGCCACAAATCAGTAGGGCAAGAGGGAGATGTGCCCAGTGCCCACGTCTGATGGGAGGGACCAGTGTAGAGTAAGGGAGGGAACAGCATCTGAGAAGTATTTTCCTCTTTCAGTGTAGGCATCCAACCTGACTGTTGTGTGCTCTCGATGCCTTTGGCATAGCGTGGGTTTTTAATCAGAGGCAGGCAAAATATGGCCCGTGACCCAGAGGAAGCCTTGAGCAGGCTCCCTGTCTTCTGCACCCTATACAAAGCAACCAGTGTTGGGGGTCATGTGTTCTCTGCACACCGTGTGCTGGGGAGGAGGAAGGTGTTGCGCACTCCCCCTGCCTCCAGCACAATTTCGCAGCTCCCATTGGCCGGTGCTTGTAGTATATGAAACTGCTCCCTGTAGGAATTTGCCCCTAGTAGCAATTACCAATATGTACAATTGTAAGAAGTTGCTACCTGATGTAGCACAAATTCCTACAGGAAGCAGTTTCATTCACTACACTGGCCACTCTGAGTGGCATGTAGGGGCGTGGTGAGCAGGGAGCCTTCCTGAGGATCCTGCTGGGCTGCTGGCCAGCAGGCCTAACCAAAGAGTTTGCGGGGCCCAAGGCAGCATGTTGTGGTTGGCTGCACCTTGTGGCCAGGTGGCTTTCAGCTAGGGCAGTGAGCAAATGGGTGCCAGGCATCATGGGGGCCCTGAAGGCATGGTGCCCAAGGCAACTGCCTTGCTCACCTTGCCCTAAGACTGGGCCTGCTGACCGGGAGCCACCTAGGTAAGTGCCTCCCAGCCAGAGCCCACCTCTGGCACCCAGCTTTTCCCTCCAATCCTCTGCTCCCTCTCCTGCACCCCTGCCTCAGGTCACAACCCAAACCCCTGCACTTCTGCCCCAAGTCACAACCCCCCGCACTCCCTCCTGCACCCCTTCTCCAGGTCAGAATCCCTTTCCTTCACGCATACCCACTCCCACAGCTGTTACCCCATTTCCCTGCCCTAGATCACAACCCAAACCCCTTCACCATCTCCTACACCTCTGCCCCAGTTCACAACCCCCTCCCATACCCTACGCCCCCTACAGGTCAGAATCCTCTCCTGCACTCATACTCCCTCCCGGACCCTGCATCCCAAACTCCTTCCCTAGGTCACAACCCTCTCCTTCATTGAAACTCCCTCCCGGATGCCACACACCCTCCTTGCATCCAACCTCCATCCCAAAACCCTCACATCCTCCATTAATATTAGGCACTCAAATTCTTGGAGTGGCTCCCATCAAAAATTATTGCCCACCCCAACCTAATAGATCAGTCTTGTAACTCTCTCGAGTGGGTCCTAACCTAGTCAGAGAGATGCTTTGGAATCTAATTTGTGGCCTGTTAATGGATCGCTCTAGGAGCTGGGGTTAGGGCAGGAGAGCCTGAGTCCCATTTGGCTGGCTGGCACCCCAGGAATGCGGTCTTCTGGGTTTAGCCAAGGGGGGAGAGCTCATTAGCTGCTTTCCCCTCCATTCTCATCCTGGCTTTTAGCATCTCTTGGCATTCTGCTGTTCCCTCACTTGGAGTCCTCTCTCCAGCTATCCTCCCCAGACACCCACTAATCTTGAATGTAAAATCTTGGGCTTTTCTCTGTACTTTAGTTATTTACAAGCCTGAGGTCTAAGTCTCACCAGCACTGGCAGCCCCCGATTATACATGTAGCTTTTCAGTAGCACACACCAGTGGCTTCCTTCCTAATCATACTGTCCAGAACTGCCTGGCCAGCTGCAGTTACTTGGTTAGCACTGTCTTAAGAGCTTTCCCTGGGCACTCTTCCCTCCCAGGACTCTTGCATTCTGGCCTCGATTTGCTGCCTCTTTCTTTCTGTTTGGTGGAGATTGGATTCTTGTCAGAGTGTTGTCATTGTGACGTAACTGGCCTCTTAGAGTTACTCTGTGGTGGTCACCTGTAACTCTAGAGCCATTTTGGAGCCTTATTCTTTTGAGGTTTTCTGTCTCCTCTTTCCATGGGCCCCATTCTTTCCCATCTGTACAAGCCTTAAGGTTCTCTTTGCCAAAGCACCCAGCTAGCTGCTTTTTGAACCATCCTGCAGGTGTTGTCCCTGCCATGCCCTGCCCAACTCTTCCCTGTCTCTTCTGTCCTGGAGGACAGGCAAAGAGGCTGGCCTTGCTGCCGACGCCAGAGGTGTTTCTTGTTGTTGGCTGGATCCCTCAGGGAGCAACAGCCCTAGTTCCAGTTAGGGTCATTGATCGGCAGCCTGTGTGCTGGGGAGGGAATTCTGTCTGGAACAATCACCAGTTAGCAAGCGCAGTGGAATCCAGGGGTGTGAAACTGTGGCCATCTCCGTGGAGGAAGACCCATGGCCCTACTATTGAGTCCTCTGTGGAGAGAAATGACATGTTCCTCACCTGGTCCCAGGCCTGGGGACATGGACTAGTGACAGGCTGTCTCATCATAGGCCTCCACTTGAGCCTAGTCAACCATCTGCTTCGATGCTCTTGGCCCGCTGCTTCTCCTCCCAGCCCTTCCTGACCCTCAGCAGGGATCAGTAAGGATGAGTTCTGATTCCAGGTGAAGGTGACTGGAAGCCTCTGCCAGGACTAAAGGGATGCATGTTTGCTTATGCTGCAGTGAAGTAATCCAGTGGGGGTCTCCAGCACTGTGAGGCTACATCTAGACTGCAAGCCTCTTTCGAAAAAGAGCATCTAGACTACCAGTACTTTCGAAAAAGCAAGCCACTTTTTTGAAAGAGAGCACCCAGGCAGTCTGGATGTTCTCTTTCGAAAAAGCACAATTTGCATTATATAGCGCCTTTTTTCGAAAAAGCACAATTTGCATTATACATTCTTCCTCGTAAAATGAGGTTTTCCACGGTCGAAAAAACTGCCGCATTCTTTCAATTTACTTTCAAAAGAACGCAGCAGTCTAGATGCAGGGGAAGTTTTTTTGAAAAAAGGCCACTTTTCTCAAAAAAACCCTGTAGTCTAGACACACCCTGAGGCTCCCCAGCTGAGAAGCCACATTGAGGTATTATTTATACCTCTCTCATTTCTGGGCCAGAAGTGGTGCCTGGGTCTCTGAGGCTGGGGACAGAGACAGGATTATAGATGTGCAGAACTCCCCATCCAAAGAGAGACCAACTCCATGATCTCCTACTGCTAATAAGCAGAAGTAAAACAGCTGCCCCAGAGTGGGAGCCAAAGGGAATTAAATCAGCTCCAAGACTGACATCTAGGTATTGGAGGGGCACTGGAATAGCTGGGAGTTTGAGTGCTTAGTTTGTCTGGGACACTGCCCCTCCAGTCTGTACAGTACTCCACAGCATGGTATGTGCGAGTGTCTCTGCTCTCCCTTTCCCTTCTGTGCAGCCATGCTGCCACGAGCCCATTCAGCTTCAGAACCTTGTGTCTAGATGGGGCCCAACCTCTCAGGAAGTGGAGATTTCTGAAATAGCCTATGGGGCCATTCCCTATCAAAAGCCCAAACCCTACCTTCCAGAAGTTTGAAAGGCATCTCTGGTACATACTACACATCAATGGCATCTGCTGCAGGGTCTGTCCAAGATTGTCTAGTGGCTGGGGTGGAACCCAAAGCCAACTCCATATACTGCTTGTGTCAGGAGAGACAAAGGTGCTGCACTGGAGCTGACCAGTTCTCTCTCCCTGTGGATAGGCGCTGTGATGATTTTTTAGTGAAGCTTCAAATCCTGCTTAGGTGGGGATGGGACTGCAGGAGCAGCCCGGTTTATATCCCTGGTTCCTACACATCATGCAACTCATCTAGGACCCATGGGTGCATGGGGGGACTTCACAGACATTAGGGCTGTGTCTAGACTGGCCACTTTTTCTGGAAAAGCAGCTGCTTTTCCGGAAAAACTTGCCAGCTGTCTACACTGGCCGCTTGAATTTCCGCAAAAGCACTGACGATGTCATGTAAGATTGTCAGTGTTTTTGCGGAAATACTATGCTGCTCTCGTTCGGGCAAAAGTCTTTTTCCGAAAAACTTTTGCGCAAAAGGGCCAGTGTAGACAGCAGAGATTTGTTTTCCGCAAAAATGCCCCGATCGCGAAAATGGCGATTGGGGCTTTTTTGCGGAAAAGCGCGTCTAGATTGGCCATGGACGCTTTTCTGCAAAAAGTGCTTTTGCGCAAAAGCGTCCTGCCAATCTAGATGCACTTTTCCAAAAATGCTTTTAACGGAAAACTTTTCCGTTAAAAGCATTTCCGGAAAATCCTGCCAGTCTAGATGTAGCCTGGGTGTTCCCGGGAAAGGGCTCCAAAAAGGAGCAGTATCCTGATTTCCCCACTGCTCTGTACTGTGGCAGCAGGTGGGCTGCTCCACAGCAAGGTGGCTTCTGGCTGCTGCTCCGTGTTGGACCACATTTTGTGCAAAATGTGGTGACTCCAGCAAATAATTCCACCATTCTGCATTGGCATGAATGCTGTTATTGGAGGCCTCATTGATCCCTCTTTGTAGCATATGAGGTGATGGGGAAGCTCTTGCTGTCATTTCTGCATCTCCTCTAATAGTACAAATTCACACATCGATAAAACAGTCTGCACTGGGTTCTTGCTAGAGCTCCCTCTGGCCCCATGGTGGAGAATCCACCTGGGTTGTATTACCAACCAAAGGAGCCCAAGCGTGTTCCAGCTGAGGTTACCCTTGGGCTGCTGCCTGTTTAAGCACAGCAGAGTGGATGGGGAGAGAGGGGCTACATCTACACTGGCATGATCTTGTGCAAAAACTCTTTAGCACAAGAGAGCGTCTACACTGGCCTGTGCTTTAGCGCAAGAGCATCCTTGCCAGTGTAGATGCTCTCTTGCGCAAGGAAGCTCTCATGGCCATTTTAACCATCGGGCTTTCTTGTGCAAGAAATTCCTGTTACCTGTCTACACTGGCCTCTTGTGCAAGAACAGTTGCGCAAAAGGGCTTCTTCCTGAGCGGGAGCGTCAGAGTTCTGGTGCAAGAAGTCCTGATTTCATACATTAGAATGTCCGTTTACTTGCGCAAGAACACGCGGCCAGTGTAGACAGACAGCAAGTTTTTGTGCAAGAGCTGCTGCTTTTGCGCAAGATCACACCAGTATAGACACAGCCCAAGAGTTCGGTTTCTGAGGCAGTCACTTGCAAGTCATTTACCTGTTTGTGCTTTACATGTTGCTTTACCCTGTCACTTACCAGCTGTGCTACGGGCGAAGGCATTTCCATGCAGGACATAGCCCCCCACCCCCTTCCTGGAAAAAAAATTCCTTGCAACGTATTCCCTTCCTTGAGTTACCTTTAGTGGAGTTGATTGGCTTCCCCTGTGGTGTGGTCATCTGCAGCAGAATCTGTTCACCAGAGTGCAAGAGACTACCACCTGTGACATGCAGCACCCACTTTGTGAAAAGGTGGGGGCTGGAGAGCCAGTGATGGCATGGCTGTCCCTTCTCACATGCTGCTGTTCAGTGAATGGAAAGTAAGCATGGATGAGACAGGTATAAGGATGCTCAGGCTTGTGGTACTCTTTTGTGCTTGACTTGCAATCTGCTGTATGTGTGTAATCTTGACTGAGCCAGCCTTTAGTGCCTGCTGCTTTGCTGAATGATGGCCTGTGAGCCCCTCTGAGTCCAGACAGCAGTGGGAGAGCTGTATTACAGCTCCAGCTAGCTGTCACACCACAGCCTGGAAAAGTGCTAGCAAAGCTCCTAGTCAGCAGTAGGAATGTGAATGACTAGTCAACTGCCTGATGAGCAAATACTTATCGGATAGTTGATAGGCTAGTCGACTAGTCGCTCTCTCCCTCCCCCCCCCCCCCCCCCCCCTGCCTCTATGAGAGAGGCAGCAAGGTGGGGGAAAGAGGAGGGGGTGCTTCAAAGAGCCAGCGCCACGTGGAGCCTGGGACTAGGTCCCGGGCTTCACATGGTTCTATCGCTTTGAAACACCGTGTGCAGCGTGGGGGCCAGCTGGGGTGTCCCCAGGCTGCAAATGGCATTTCAAAGCAGAAGCACTGTGAAAAGCCTGGGGTCAGTGGGAGTCCCCAGCTGACTCCAGGCTCCATGCAGTGCTGCCACTTTGAAATGCATGAGGAGCACAAGGCCAGTGGGGACTGCCCCACTAACCCTGTGCTCCCCGCAGCACTTTTGCCTTTGAAGTGTAGCAACAGCAAATTGCATCGACTATTTGATTAGTCAATCAAAATTTAACATCCCTAGTCACAGCATCTCAGTATTTAGTGGAGGCTTTTGCTAAGCTATCCAGGGGAAAAATCATAAAATTCAAGCCTTGTTTCCCCCACACCTTTGAGGGGAAGAAAGCAGAGGCCAGGATAGCTGTCCTGGGAAGAGGCATCAGTGCTGAGCAGTTACTGTTCTGGGTTGCTCAGGAGCAGAATTCTCATGGTAACCCGTAGTAGTGCAGCAGGTCAGGCTCCTAAGGGGCTCAGCTGTTACCAGGGCTAAGCTGTAGCTCCCATGGGCTTCAAGGGAAGCCCCATAGCCCTGAAATCAGGCCACCTGCAGGCAGCCAACATGTGGTTGAGGGAAAATGGAGGGGCCTTATGATGAAGGAATGAGTTTGGGGTGGGGGCTGTGCAAGTTTTGATCCTCTCCTTTAACTACAGTAGGACTAGAGATGCTAGTGCAGCTCATGGCCAGCAGTGCTGAGAGCAACTAGCAGGAACCAGGCCTGGTGCTAATGAAGCCCAACACTTCCATTGTTTATACAGAGGCTCCAGCTTCATTATCATAGTTTTTTCTTGCCCCCAAAGAGCAGCTAAACCAGAGATGGGGTTTTACTGCTATAGAATAGCCCCATGGAGGCATGACCACGTTTGTTGGGAACTCAGGGTAGGAATCATTTGGTACTTGTGGAAATGCATTTAATTTTATATAGCCAATGAATCTTTCAGGGGCCTAACCTGGTTGGTGAGTACTGTGCGCTAGTTTAGCCATAACAATATTTCTTCCATTACAGCCTTGAAAACCTTCCCTTAAAATGAGCACTAGCATCTAACTTCCTGAATGTGTCCAAACACCTCCTTGGAGCAAATGGCATAGGCTCTAAATGTGAAATGAATTTTCCTCTGAGCTGTTGTGTGTGAGAGACCATTAATAAAGTATTGTATCATAAGGGACAGCTGACAGTACCATTAAGAATAGGAACTAGAAACTGTTACTGTGAAACTGCTGAATTGGAGGCTTCCACAGTGGGATCCCCGTGTTCCATAGCCTCCTTCAGGAGGAAGGCTCAGCCCTCATTCTATTTACTTTGCTAAAGAGCAGGACAAACATCCCACCCTACATTGGCTGTGGTAGCAGATGCTGGGAGCTGTTGAGACATGGGTCTTGCCCCACTGAGTTTATTTACGTTGAAATAAGATGTAGTAAATACTTGTGGGAAGAAAGGGGCTTCCCTAGCTTAAAGCTCCACTAAGCTATATTTCAACTGGGTCACGGCTGGTTGGCACTGCCCCAGAGGCATTGACAGCCTACATGAAGGACAGGTATAGCCCCCCATTTCAGAGTAGGGAAAACCATCATCATGGGGCTGTAGCTATGCTGGGGCAAGGACACAGCTCACTCCCAGCCCCTCAGCATGCTTATTTTGCCAGCCTGTCCTGCTGTTTCACACATCACCCTCCCCTCTTCTATCAGTGGTTGTTAATGCCCAGCTACAAAAATGGTACGTACTAAATCTGTTTTGGCTCCACGGCAATCTGTGAACTCTGATGCTCCCACTCAAGAATAAGCCCTCTTCCAGAAGAGGCCAGTGTAGACAGGCAAGATGGTTTTCTTGCGCAAGAAAGCCCTATCGTTAAAATGGCCATCAGAGCTTCCTTGCGCAAGAGAGTGTCTACACTGGCATGGATGCTCTTGCGCAAAAGCACATGCCAATGTAGATGCTCTCTTCTGGAAGAGTTTTTGTGTGAGAACATGCCAGTGTAGACGTAGCCTAAAAGTGCAGAGCACGGAAAAAATGGACACATTCTTTTGTTAAGCTGAAAACTTAAAGGAGCATGGGAGGCCAGTACTATTGCAGGGAGACACTGCCCATGGTGAGAGCTTGAGCAGTTCTCAGCTGGAGGGCAGTTAGGGAGCACCTTCTGCCCTGCCGAGCAGGCACTGAGTTCTCAACTATCCCAGAGGCTTGTGGCCAACCCTCTCCCATTAGCTGCCCTCACAGAAGGGGGGAACCCTAGTTTGTAGGCACTGCAACAGTGGGGTACCTGGAAAATACCACATTAGGCAATGCAGCTTTAGCATCTTAATATTATTGAGCAACTTATCAAGGAGGTGGGACTTGTATTCTGTGATTCCCCAGCTCTCCACGGACCCTTGCGTGGAAGCCAGTGGCTCAGGCACAGCTAATGGAGAGCAGTGACAGAGGCTTGCTTTGAGTTGGCTGCAGTGCAAAGGGCTCTGGTAGGCCCAAGGTGGAAAGGTACTAGCTGCCCTCAGCACTGAGTGCTGCCAAGCCAGCACCAGCTACATGTTTTGCACATTAGAAAGTGTGTAAGCCTCTCTGAAAGTCCCCTCACTCCCCAATCTGCTCAGCCATGACTGGAGGATACAGTTGGAGGATAGCAGTTACACTGACCATGCCTCCTGCAGAGGTTTGGGACAAACAGACAACAAAACTACTACTGAAAACAGTCCTGTCACCACAAGGCAGAGCAGTGCTGCAACGTTTCCCTTTGGCCAAGCACTCGAAAGTCAGCAGCTCTGAGTGAGGCTAGATCTCCAAGCTCATGAAGAAAAACCAGCTGCCCCAGTCTCTGCTGCTCAGTGACCAAAGCTTGGCTGCATGATGGGTAGGCAGGTGAAATTTGCCTGCTGTGATCCGCAACAGCTACAACACAAATGGAACCCAGTTCATCACAGGTGCAGTGATGCTGGGGCGAGTTTGACTGTAACCGTTTTGGCAGATGTGAGCCATTGATGGGAGTTCAAGATACTCTCTTTGGGTAGAACCCTGCCAGAGCCTTGCACCCACGGTTCTCCATCAACACTCCCACTGTCCAAAGCTCAATAAAGGTTGTGGCTACAGTGAGGCATCAGCATTATCAGGTGCTGTGGCTCAGCTCTTCTGATTCATGAGCCAAGAGAAGAGCAGCCTCCTGGGCTTAGGTTTCCTGGCCTGGCAGATGCGCACAGTGCGGGGGGAGCGCCACACTTTGATGCTAGCATCATCGCTGGCTGTCAGGAGCAGTTCCTGCTCAACTGGGCTGAATGCCACAGAGTTGACCACATCATCATGTTGTAGCTTGGCCAGACAGATGTTGTAGTGCCGGTCCCAAATGTAGCCATGACGATCCTCTGCCCCACTGCATTGGACAGAAAATATCAGTAAGCACCCTGCCCAGCCAGAGGGAAAGGGGCCCTAACTCTCTTCCCCAAAAGCATGGAGGAGACAGGTGCCTCTCCCATTAGGCCTGAGGCTACACCCAAAATACTGACCCAACTTGTGTCCAGCTCTCACAGGTGAGAGAAGAGCTTTTCAAGAAGGAGCCAAGGGGAAACAATGCAGGGAGTATTTGGATGAATCTGCAGCCAGGTTTACACAGTACTTGGTGGTGTGAACTGTACTGATCAGTTCAATGGGCACTCACCAATGTCATTTTCAGGGTTCAGAGTTAATTGTCCCATCAACCTGCTCTTCTTTCCACAATCCTAAATCATCAGAAGCCTCAACTATCTTCTCCTCAGATGCCACCGCCCAGAGTTCCTGCACGAAATTCTTCACTGTCACATCAAGAGCAAGGGGAGGAGGAGGAGGGAGCATAACATACCAATTGTGCTAGTCTAGTCACTGCACTGAGCATGTGATTGGCAGGCATCCCATTGGCACAAGCCCAGTTTTCCAAATAAGTCATGCTGCTGCAGGATGTCTCTCTGAGGCTGGGCCAATGCTGCAGAATCTACCCCAGCTCAGACAGAGGCCTAGCTCTACAATAAACCCAGGGACCCAGTACAGGGGTTGGGAAGACAGCTTCGCTTTGCTTCTCTCCCCTCCCATCTCACCAGTTTTATGGCCAAGGGTACGGCTAGACTGCGGGGGGGTTTCGGGTTACCTCCAGTATCCTGAAAAAACTCCGCCGCGTCCAGGGAATGCCTTTGCTCTTCCACTTTTTTTTTTTTTTTTGGGGGAAGAGCAAACGCATTCTTTTGGAAGCCCCTGTATTCCTCATTCCACGAGGAAGAAAGGGGCTTTTGAATAGGTTTTTTTCCCCAAAATTTTGCCCAGTCTAGACAGGCCAAATTTCAGAAAAGCCTCTTCTGACGAAAGTATCGGGAAAAGATATGCAAAATGCGGAGTGCATTTTGCGTATCTTTTTCCGATAGATCCTTGCAGTCTAGACGTACCCCAAGAAAGAGAGGACAACAGGGCACCTGGCTACGAAGTCCCTGCTGACATCAAGAAAGATGAAGAAACATTCATCGTTGGGGGTGTAGGCTCGGTGTGCACGGAGGGCTCGCTTCACCTCCTTCATTGTCTTCAGATCAAACACATGCAGGTCAATCTCCTCTGCGATGGGTGGTGGCTGCATGGGATCAGAGATCACACAGTCCCGTGGCCAGGACCGGCTGTTGACATAAAGATATCTAGGGAATAGGAAAAGTTCCACTGCTGAATTACTGCATCACTTCTGTCAGTGTCGCCATCCAGTCTAGAAAATCTAGCCAGCTGGACTGTGCTGGCGCACTGGTTCATTTCACTGCCTGCCTCTCCAGCACAAGCTTGCAGCATATAGGGGCTACAGGCTGACGTTCTGGAAACAGCCTGTTTATGTGAATTATTTTCAGGATATCAGTGAAACCATTTTCATCCCTGCCCAGTTCTGCAAGTCAGAACTGCACTCCCATGTGCTTTACAAGGGGCCTTTAATAACATGCTGGTGGGAAACTCAGAGTTCATTTTATCCACCCAGCTCCCTAATCTAAGCCAGTCATGGAGAGAGCCTGGCCCAGCTACAGAGCCACAGATGGGACACACATCTCAGGTAGCTCATGCATACATTTACTAGAATCAGCATCTGGCTGGTCTCCAACCCCATTCCTATCCCTTCCAGCAAAGACTCCTGGCCACCTTTTTCCCAGGAGGGTGCTAAATCAAGCACCCTTCACCAATCTGGTGGCTTCAAGTCCTGTGACCCTTTCTGAAGAACACAGGAAATCCCCATGTGATCCAGATACACAGATCCAGAAGGCTACCCCCAGCTGACCTAATGGAGGGTCCTCTCAATGCTCTCCCTTACTTGTTTGAGAGTGGAATTTCTTCCTCAACCCAGATCCTGTGACCAGGTCAAACTGTGCACATAAATGGAGCACCACCATGATTCACCCATAACAGCCATTTTCACTCCTAAAAGCCCTCTGGTTCCTGTGCCCCATCATTGCAGCCTCTGGCATGGAGCAGGTCATACATGCTATACCTGACTGCAGGCTCACTTCTCTGCTGGCATGGAGGCATTCCTCTGCATATAGTGCTGCAGTTGGTGGTTTGCTGATCCCAAACCACCAGCTTGGCTTATGCTGCTAATAAGATACGCTAAGTTCCATGAACTTTGCTGTGTGCCAGAGCTCAGGAGAAAAGATCTCAAAGACAAAGGTCCTGTCTACTCTTTGCCTGTCTATAGGCGTTAATGAGCTCATGGGGGAAGGGGACAATCACTATGCTCTTCACAAATGAGTCACTAAGTGCTGGAAATCCCGCCTCCCCCTCCTTCCCTCACACACACACTCACACTGACTACACCTTGCCCCATCCCCCACATGGCAGGTCCTCCGCTCTACTGTGCCTTCCTCCATCCTGCCTCACCCACCTGTGGTCAGGAGAGAGACCCATCCCAATAATGTGACCATGGATGTCAATGACATGATCCAGTGAATCGAAGAACTCATCTGAACGTCTCTCCTCCCCAAGCACCGGCCCAGCAGTTGTCATCTGGTGAGGCAAGATCTGCTTAATTCCTTCAGGGAAAAGGGAGGCAGGAAGGGGAATTAGCGTGCCCAGCAAGAGCTGCTGCTGCTACCTGACTCAAAGGTCTCAGGCAATAGACCAGGGCTGAAGCACACTCCCCGGGCTCCAGAGCAAGGAGCATCCCTCCTTCCCATTGGGCATGTGTGTGGCAGGAAGGGAGTCTCCCCCAGGGTCCCGCTGGGCCGCAGGCCACTTGTCCCCCAAAGAATCATGGCGTGCTGGATCTGAACTTTTTGGACCATATGTTGCCCGCTCCTGCTCTAAACAGCTGAAAGGGTTTTGCACAAACTTCCCAGAAAATTTCATCTTTGGCCAGAGACCAAGCCTGGAAGCATGCAGACTTGTGGGAAGAGGCCACAGTGGCAGCTACTTTACAATCTTACAGCAGGCACTTACCAGAAACCCTCTGTCCTAAGGGCAAGCAGATGACTTACAGAAAGGCACTGAGTTTGCATGTGGATAGCCATTGCCCAAATTCATCCCTCCCCTATTCCGGCTCCTCCAGAACCTCTTCTTGAGGTTCTGGCTGCACTTCTCTCCTCACCTTTTCCTGTATGCACACCCTATCCGTGGCCCCACAAAGTCGCGAGACCTCCTCGTCAACCTACTCCTGGCCTTAGCGAAAGCTGCCGTCTATAACACCAGGAGTAAGATGTTGGACGAGGGGTTCTCTGCGACTGTGGGGCCTATTTCCGCTTCTCCCTCGTGTCACGAATCCGGGCAGAGTTCCTCTGGGCGGCGTCCACTGGCTCCATCGACAGCTTTGAGGAGCGGTGGGCGCTGTCCGGGGTTCTCTGCTCGATGTCCCCATCCGGCTCCCTAGTTATGAACCTTTAGCCCGCACTCCTTGCCCCTTTTGTCATTAGCTATCCCCAGTAATTAATTGGACATGGGTCCAGTCGTCCCTCCCACAAGGCTGGGGGAGGTGCTTCAAATAGACCAAATTCATCCCTCAGACTGTGCTGTGACCATCTGTGGAAGTCAGAGCAAGGCAGAGCCACTCACCTATCTGGTGTGGAGAGTAGGTGAGGCATCCTGTGGTGAAGATTAAATATTTCTTGTTGCTGGCCTCTGTGGGGAGCTGAGTTAACTCAGGTGGCTTAGTCCTGCTCCTAGCAAGCAGCTCTGCGACCTTCGTCTCCAGTTCTCTCTCACTCATGACAGGCTTCATGCGGCCTTCAAGGAGGTCATCCAGGAACTGCTGCAGCCCATCCTCTGATGTTCCACTCCCACCATCCAGGAAGGCTTGCGCCCCCGGTTCTCGCATCAGTCTCTGCTTGGGCTTCTCCTCTTCTTCTTCACTCTCACTGCCAAGATCAAAGTGCTGGTAGGGAGAGGTGGTGGTAGCCAGTTGTTCCTTATAGTCCAGGAGCAGGTCTGGAGCATCGTAACGGCTGCAGTCTGCCACCATCACTGTCCGGATGCTGCTGGCATTCAGGTTCTGGATTTTGAACAGTCTCTTGACTACATTCACATTCTCAGACTCTATGCCCTGTTAAGAGAGGGGAGAGCAGGTGCCTTCTTTCTGTACCCCAAAAGAGCGAGGCAGCAAAAAAAGGCTCAGCATCACTAATACAACAGACTTCATAGGAACACCAAATCTCTGTAAACAGCCCTCTTTAAAACAGCACTGTGCACTATAGGATCTTTCAAGAGAGGCTCTCAAAACACTTGACAAGTGGTAGCGAATGAAGCCCCCTGGAAATTGGCCAGCATAGCAATCCCCATTATACAGGTGGGGAAACTGAGGCACAGAGGGATCACACAGCAGCAGAACTGGGAATAGAAGTCAGAATTCTATGCTTTAGCCTTCTAATTGATACCAGCTTTCCTAACTACAGGTTCAGGAACAAAGCTTCTTTTCTGACCACAGGTTCAGCATGATTGGTGCCAGTTGACTGGCCATTCTAAACGAGGGAAAACAGGCACCAATGAACTCCTTAGTGTGCAGTAACTGAGGCAAGAGGTGGCAAAGATAAGCTGTGCGCAGAAGTCTAAAGACTTGAGGGAAAGTGGAATAAATGGCAAATTATTAATAATTTTCCCTTTTGCAATGGAGAAGACAGGGCCAGCCTGCCAATAGCAGTGCACACTGTAGTACAGTTCAGTGGGAAGAGCTGTGTGAACACAGAATGCCTGCCACACGAGGATTTCCTTGTGCAGCATGCATACTGTTCTCCCAATTTCATCCAGGAGGAAACAGGTGCAGTGGGTTAGTGAATTCCTGTGACAGGAGCAGCACTCAGATCCTCCTCATTCACAGCCCCTAGAGTCCAAACAGCATTTTCGCTATCAAGTCACAACATTCATTTCCCTCATTGCCTCTAGTAGGGAGGATTCCTTGGCTCCCCTATGGCCATGAAAATTCCCTTCCCAGTGAGCATCCATGTCCCATAGGCTGAGTACCCAGACACAACAGCATGTGGGCAACAGCTAACATGCTCCAGGCTTCCAGTGACTCTTTACCCATCATGGCTCATCCTCTGGTCCCTTCCAAATGAGACCACAAGCTGGGCTCCAGCCCCCATTAGCACAATATGAGTGCATGGAAGCAGCACAGAACCACATGGGAAGTGCCCACTGCAAGGGGTGCTGGACCAGTGGGGCACTGGAGGGCTAACTTGAGCCAACTCCACCATGAGCCTCAGCTCGCTACCAGTTACCCTTCTCAGTTCATTCTAGCATGGTAATTGCTCCCCGAATGACCCTTAGAATCATAGAATACTAGGACTGGAAGGGACCTCCTCAAGTTCAGTCCCCTGCACTCACAGCAGGACCAACACCATCTAGATCAGTGTTTCTCAACCTCCTTTTTTTTTTTTTTTTTTTTTTTTTTAAATAAAGTACCCCTTTTTCAAAAAAAACTGTAAGTACCCCCAGGACCTACAGTTTTCAGACAGATTCTTTTTTCTGCCATTGCACCACATTTGTTTAAACAACTTAATCATAGCCGGGCGGGGTATGACATTTTTGGGTATAAAAAGTGCAAAAATAATAAAGCACTGTAAAACTTAAAACAAAAATTCAGTTTTCTCCAAATTTCAATTGGGTACCCTTAAGGGTACTCATACCACTGGTTGAGAAACACTGATCTGGATCATCCCTGATAGATGTCTATCCAACCTACTCTTAAATACAGGCAGTCCCCGGGTTACGTACAAGATAGGGACTGTAGGTTTGTTCTTAAGTTGAATTTGTATGTAAGTCGGAACTGGCTCCAGATTCAGCCTTTCTCCAAATTTCAATTGGGTACCCTTAAGGGTACTCATACCACTGGTTGAGAAACACTGATCTGGATCATCCCTGATAGATGTCTATCCAACCTACTCTTAAATACAGGCAGTCCCCGGGTTACGTACAAGATAGGGACTGTAGGTTTGTTCTTAAGTTGAATTTGTATGTAAGTCGGAACTGGCTCCAGATTCAGCCGCTGCTGAAACTGACCAGCG